TTTTTTGAGTATATTTTAAAGAAGAGGGGAAGAGAAGGCAGGGTGAAAGAGAAGCTTGATTTTAGTAGAAATGAATTTGATCCTGTGTGCAAAATCCTAAGTCCAAAGTCGTATGATGTCCTGACCGCTGTCCCTGGTTAGCTCAGCCTCCCAACCCACTCAGCAGCAGCTTCCAACACTTACCTCCCCGGCTGACTCTAGGACTCCTTCCCAGCTTGTTCTCTTTCTCTCTGAATCTCAGACTGACTCCCCACCTAATTTCTTCACCTTTAGCTTTAAAAGATTTTAGACTTCCTCATTCTAAAACAAGCCTGCAGGGCTAGGTTGTAGCTCAGTGGCAGAGTGCTTTGTGTAGCATGTGAAGTCCTGAGTTCCATCCCTAGCACCACAAAAAAATAATGATAATAATAAATAAAGCCAGGCTTAGTGGTACATGCCTGTAATCCCAGCTATTTGGGAGGCTGAGGCAGGAGGATAGGAAGTTAAAGGCCAGCCTGAGCAACTTGTGGAGACCCTGTCTCAAAATAAAAAGAGTTGGGAATGTAGCTAAATGGTAGAGTGCTTGCCTAGCATGTTCAAGGCCTTGGGTTTAATCCTCAGAACAACAACAATAATAAAACAAAACAATCCTGGCTTCTCTCTTCTCTTCTCTCTTCTGTGTCCCTATCTCTCTCCAGCAACTCTCTTCTCTGCTCTTCCCCCACACCATGATACACTAACTTTGGTCCCCAGCCCTCCTACTACTCATTTTCTCACAACTCCCTAAGGGACTAATCAAAAACTCTCCAGTGCTCTTCTGGATTGTCAACCTCACCCGCCTGCTAACAAGACTGCTTCCTTAACACCACTGCTCTCCTGGCTTGCTTGCTTCCACCTATCCCTTAAGTAGAGGTATTATTCCCTTCTGCCCAGGTCTTGTCAACCTCACCAGCCTGCTAACAAGACTCTGCTTCCTTAACACCACTGCTCTCCTGGCTTGCCTCCACCTATCCCTTAAGTAGAGGTATTATTCCCTTCTGCCCAGGTCCCTTCATTCAATATCCCAAGGCTCCCGCACTGGTGCCTCCCAAAGCTGCATCTCCAGCCAGGAGCAAGCGGCTGCCAGGTCCCTGGTGCACTGGAACCCACTTGGATATCCCAAAGGTGGCCTCAAATCCACCTGCTCCCCATAATTTGGAGTCCTGCCAACAGTGCCTTCTCCACCATATCCAACCCCATCAGTTCTTCCCACCCCTGTGCACACTGCCTTTGCCCATCATCCCTCTTCATTGGGATCCCTGCCTTTGATATGAACCTCTCATCTGAGTTGGTGCATAAGCTGGTAGGAAGGACTGGTGGTGGAGGTTGTGACCACCCAGCACATTAAAACAGACTGAAGTCATCAGCAGGCTGTATCAGAGTAGGAAAGGCAAAGATGACTGGGATAACAGGGGGCTAAATGGCCCCAACTCTGCCCTGCCTGTCTCTACCACTGCCTCTCAGCCACCCCTGACCCACTAACCACTCAGCTGTCTGAAGGGTCTTCCTCTGACGCAAATCTCACATGTCTGGGATTACTTTAAATGCTTCGGTGGATTACCAAAATTTCGTGGGTCCTTAGGATGTATGACCCTGAACTGCCTAATTCCCGCTAGCACTTTCACATCCAGAGGTATTTACAATTCTATGCCTTTGCCTAGGCTGACCCTCTACCTGAAGTGCTCTTCTTGACCTGTGTAACAATCACCCTTCATCCAGGGAGCATCGGTTCTTAAGTTCTTAAGTCAAAACTGTCTCAGGTCACAGATCAGGAAAGAGTCTAAGTCAACACCATTTCTTTTCCTCATGCAAAGAACACTCTTTGGACTGTTGTGGCTTAACTCAGTCACAGCACAATGATCATTACAAGGTCTCATGTTCAAAATAGATGCTTCTCATGGTAAAGCAGTGATTCATCTGATTTTTGCACCAGAGAACCTGCATCTGGAAAACACCCAACCTCATATCCTCTCCCTTTCCCTGTGCATGTCTGTCCTCCCCTGGACTCACAGTCCTGGATGGTTCCCCCAGGAAAACCTGTTCTGGAAGGTTTGGGACCATCACCCTCAAAGGTGTGCTCCATCATTCCTGGCATTTCCCCCCAAACACTGCCATAGGTCCACAAAGCCACTTGTTCAGAAAACAAGACAATCCAGAGAGGAACTAAAGTTGCAGGAAGACAGCAACTTTCTGGAGGCCACAAAGCACTTTTGTGGGGGTGGCAGTCAGGCCCTGGGGCACTAGGACCAACATCTGGGATTCCCAGGCCAAGCCTCCTTCTGCAGTTCTATGGCCTGTGATCCTCTGTCCCGAACGCCTCACATAATTAGAAGTTATAATCCTGTAATTCCATGATGACATCTTTGAACTTAAATATACTGCAAAACAATTTTTTAAATGCTAAAAGCAACTTAACAAAAAAGACTTTTTCCCACTCTGTCCCCACCGGTTTCCAGATTCCCCCTCCTATCCTGCTGTCACTGCTCCTCACTAATGAGAAAAAGCCCAAGTTGTCAATATGGAATGGACGAAGGAAGATGCCAAGACTGTTGGTGAACTGAATGGCTAGGTTTTAAACAATTAAGAATTGATTGTTCTGGGGAAAACAGTTTCACTTCCCTATTTGTAATTATGATCATATCTGTCATAAAAATAACAAGGACAATCTCTCAACCCACCCAGTGATCTCAGGCCAAGCTCCAATGGCTATGTTTTGACTCACCCAGGACCTGCAAGGAGGAAGGTGTGGAAAGTGTCTTTGTGACTCCCGGCTTTAAAGCATCTTTCTAGACCAGGCCCTGGCACCTGTCGGTATCCCAGCGTCCCTACTGGTACGGGCTGGGGTAGGTTTTTTGGTTTTGTTTGGCACTGGGGATTAAACACAGGTGTGCTCTACCACTGAGCTACAATTCCCCAGTCCTCCTTATTTTGAGACAGGATCTTGCTAAATCCTTAAAGATGCCTCGAATTTGTAATCCTCCCGCCTCAGCCTCCTGAGTTGCTGGGATTATAGGCTTGCATCACCATTCCCAACCTTGGGACTGAATAGCTATTACCTCCGGGGGAGCAGGCAGTGTTGAGTGCAGAGGAGCGCCTGGACTAGCTAAGAGCCCAGAGCCCGCCGCACTCACCCGCCGGGTTTCTCAGGCAACCAGATAAATCCGCTTTAGCATAAAGCGAGAAGGGGCGAGACCACCGTGCTCAGGCCCTCCTGGGCGAATCCGGACAAATGAGAAGGCGGCACCCGAGGTCCCCTTCCCCCAGCTGCTATCTTCTACACACTAAGAAGTCGAAGAGGAGGACACTGAAGTATTTTGGAGGGAAAAGGACAACGCCAACCCGCCCGGGGTGGTCTTTCCCTCCCCACTCGCGACCCCGCCTAGCGCTCCGGGGGCAGTTGGGCTCCGGTCGCAAAGCGCCTGGAGGCCGAGGGCGCCAGCGCAGCCAGTCACAGGTCCTTTCTCGGGATACGCGGAAGCACCCTTCAGACCCCGGACTCTCGGCTTACACCTGCTCAGGGGCGGCCCCCTGGACCCGCCCTCCGCAGCCGGGCTGCCACCTGTTCCGGGCGCCCGGTACTCAGCGGCCCGTTTTCCATCTCCCTCCCTTCTCTTCCCGCACCAGACTAGAGCGCCTCCCCGTCCGGGCCTCGCCGACCCCGGACGCGCGCTCCCGCAACCCCCCCACATCCTGGGGGTAGGAGGTCTGCGACCCTCTCAGACTCGCCGCCCACCCGAAGCCGCCCACCCGAAGCCGCCCACCTTTCGAAAGTAGTCGTCGTTCTCTTTCTCCAGCGGCTGGGGGGCCGCAGGCACCAGCGCGTGGGTCATGGTGGCGGCGCGAGCGCGGACGGCGGACTGAGGTTCAGCGACCGCCGCGAGCCCCAGAGGGCGCCGGCCCCGCCCCGCCCCGGAGCCCGCCCCGCGACCGCCCCTCCAGCCCCGCCCGAGGCCAAGTCCCGGAGCCCTGGAGACCCGACCGGCCCCGCCCCGGCCCCCAGGCCCCGCCCCCAGCCCCGCCCCAAGAGTCTGCGGGGTCGGAGCCGCGGTCCTTTCCAAGTGCTAGACCCCGCCCGAACTAGCGCCCGGCCATCCCAAGATCTGGGGCCCCTGTCGCGCCGCCCTCGGGACTCAGAGTCCAGAGGCCCTAACCTGGGCTTCGTTGTTAGCTCAACCCTGTGAGCCCGGCATGGCGCCAGGGACAGTGCAGAGGGTCTTAGCTGCAGCAGTGAGGCGCAGGCTGGGAATTCGCCCCTGGAGCCCAGGGAGTAAATGCGGAGGGCTAGTGGTCTCTATCCCCAGGAACACGGACCAGACCCGACGCCACGTCTGCACCTCTGGTCTCTGGGCAGTGAGGTCAGGCAAAGCTCTGCGCAGAAGGGGACCTTGGGGCCGAGTGGGGGACTCAGCGCCACCGAGCGCTGACTTGAGCTAATGTCGCTGCGACCAACCTCAAAACCCCCGAAGCTGGGACTAAATGGATATCTGGGGGGCGTTGAGCGACGGAGCCCTCCACGAAGGAACTTCGGGAGGAGTTTTGTGCCCAAGAGACTTGGCGGATATCTTTGAGAACGTTTCTTAACCATCGATTATTCCAAACCTCAGTTTTCACATTTGCAAAATGGGGGGTGATTAGTCTTTCTCAAGCTTGTCGAGGGTATTATGCGATAAAGGGTAGAGATGCACTTAGTTTTGGAGGAAAAAGGAGGACCCCTTGGATTAGGGTTCGCACTTGTCTGTCCCCGCCCCACCACGAGAGGTTAGACAACTCCGGGGTCGAATAGCCTGGCAGAACCGGAAAACCCGAACCCGGAGTCCCCAATCCGCGGAGCCAGGCCCCTTCCCATCCGAGTCCTGCAGTTACTACCTCCCCCTCCCCCAACCAGGGGACACTTCCGCTGCAGTCCCAGAAAATGTCCCAGGTAAAACACAAAATCTATTTTTAAATCAAGCCAAGGGTTTCCGTATGTTTTAAGTGCATTAGGGGTTGTTTGAGAATTTTAAAACAAACAGTGGCAACAACCAAGTAAATGTTAAAAAAATAAATGATTAAAATTTTAAATCCACCTGGTTCCTGCGGGGCCCGTGAAATTTAACAAGGCGTTTTTTCAGAAAGGGCTCATTAATTCTAAGAGCTTGCGGAGTACTATCCAGTTCAGGTTGTTTGGGAAAATGATTAAAAAAATACTTCCCTTCTCTGATCAAGAGCATCCTGGGCTAACTCTCTAGTACTCTCCCTCCAAAAAAAAAGAAGGAAAAAAAAGAAAAGAAAGAAAGAAGGAGAGTGGAAAGGAAGAAAAAGTTGGGTGAGGTGACGTCCGCCTGTAAACCTGGCGACTGCGGAGGTGAGCCAGGAGGATTCAAGGTCAGTCTGGGCAATTTAAACAGTCCTGCCTTAAGAGAAAAAAATAAAACAAGGACTGGGGTGTAGCTCCGTAGGTCGTAGAGATCCCCCGGGTCCAATCCCAAATTAAAAGAAGAAGAAGAAATCTCCCTACTCTGTTAAAGTCTGACGCAAGTATCAGGCTAATTTCAGCATACGTCTGTCACGCTACACTTAATCCATTTCCCTGGAAACCTGCTCACCTGGGGCTGGAAATTAAAATAGCCATTTCAGACGCAGCGCGGTAGTGCAAGCCTGTGATCTCAGCTACTGTGGAGGCTGAGACAGGAAGGTCCAAAGTTCTGGACAATTTAGAAAGACCTCATCTCAAAATGGGCTGCGGATGTAGCTCAATGGGAAAGCATTAATAGTCTTCCGTAAGTTATTTGTTTTGTTTAATTTTTTTTTATTATTTTAAAAGGCAACTGTGCCATAACCATAAGTTTAAAAAAAAATCAAGAAAAGGAAAAAGAGAAACCAATGGTTTTTTGTTCTAACAAGAGAGACTTATAAAAGTCAATATTGGGGCTGTAGCTCAGTGGCAGAGCACTTGCCTAGCAAGTGTGAGGAACTGATCCTTAGCACCGCACGGAAAGAAAGAAAGGAAGGAAGGAAGGAAGGAAGGAAGGAAGGAAGGAAGGAAGGAAGGAAAGAAAGGGAAGAAAGAATGCTGTCCAACTACAAATATAAAAAAAAAAATTAAAAAGTGGACTGGGGTTGTAGTTCAGCGGTAGAATGCTGGCCTAGTATGTGGTGCTGGGTTCAATCCCCAGCACCACATAATTAATCAATTAATAAGTTACTTAATTAAATTAAGTGGTGGGGAAAAAAATATATTTTTTTAAAGTGAATATAATGGAAACCATGGTCCATTGTTTAATCTAGCCTGATGTTGTTGCCTAAAAAGCTCAAAAGAGCTGCTGCTTTGTTATAAAGGAAAAAAAGTAAGAAAAGGAATCATGCTATTAAAGACACACCAATCCTTCCTAACACTATTTCCTGGGCATCTTCATAGGTAAAAAAGCACCTCTCTGGGTGAATCCCAACCAGGCATCTATTCTCTGGTCACAGGAACTATCTGAGTATCACTCCTTCAGGCTACACAGAATCAATCATATACCTTTAGACATTCTCATGGAAGGGGGACCCAGAGATCTCATCCCATAGCTCTGATCCCATTGTGATCAGGAAAGAGAGCTTCTGCTGACCCAGCAAGGGAGCAACATTTAACCTTTTATTTGTCAACCCCATTCGGCAGACTGTGGGACAAGAACTACCAATGAATTTCTGCTCCTAACAAAAAAAAAAAAAAAAAAAAGCTAGGGCTGACATTTCTGAGACTGGCAAAAGATTAAAATCTCAGCCCCAAACAATGATTTTGCCAAGTCCTATTTTACTGTTTATTTTAGATCATCAGTCTGCAGTCCAGGGATCTGATTCCTTCAAGTACGTTGTGAGTTTTGTTGGTGTGGTGGTGCATACCTGTAATCCCAGCTAACTGGGGGCTGAGGCAGAGGGATCACAAATTCTAGGCGGGCCTGGTGATTTAGCAAGACACTGCCTCAGAATAAAAAATAAGAAGGGCTGGAATGTAGCTCAGTGGTAGAGTATCAGGGGGAAAAAAAATCATATCTCACCTCCTAAGATGTGCTTGTTGACTAAAGGAGCATTGGCTTCTCTGGGGACAGCCTGATGTACTCTTGGGGAATCTGATGAAATTTGCTAAACTAAATGCAGAAATAGAAGGAAATTGCTATGGTTTGGGTATGGTTCAAGTGGGTTCCCCAAGGGTTCATGGGCTAGAAACTTGATCCTCAGTGTGACAATATTGAGATGGGGGAACCTTTCATAGGTGGGGCATAGTGCAAAGTAATTAGGTCCTTGGGGAGACATCATGCCAGAAGGGATTAATGCCGGTTTGGTCTTGCAGAGTAAGTTAGTTCTGGACAGGGTGGGTTGTTGTATAGTAAGGTGGCCCCATGTACTTTGTTCCCTCTGCATGTGAACATTTCCATCTCTACCATGTTGTGACCTAGCCAAGGGAATTCATATCAGAGGCCAAACAAATAAGAACACCCAATCTTCGATTTTCAGCTTTCAACATTGTAAGCTAAACAAACCTTTTTCTTTATAAAATATCCAAGTATTTTGGCATAGCATCAGAAAATGGACAAACAATATGTATTATAAATTATGGACCAAATTTTGCAGTTTTTTTTTAAAAAAAAATTTTTAGAAATTTAAACCATACAGTACCATGGAGGAATAGCTACTAGAGAGGGATCCATTGAATCCAGGCACAACTGTAATCTCAGTGACTTGGAAGGCTGAGGCAGGAGGATTGCAATTTGGAGGCCAGCCTCAGCAATTTAATAAGACCCTCAGCAATTTAGTGAGGCTCTGTCTCAAAATAAAAAATAAAAAGGGATGTAGCTCAGTGGCAGAGCACCCCTGGCTTCAACCCCCCAGTACTGAAAAAAAAATTTTTTTTTTTTTAAAAGAGAGGGATGGGAGCTGGGTGCAGTAGCACACTTGTAATCCCAGCAGCTCAGGAGGCTGAGACCGGAGGATTGCAAGTTCAAAGCCAGCCTCAGCAACTTAGGGAGACCCTATCTCAAAATACAATTTAAAAGGGCTGTGGGTGTAGCTCAGTGGCCAAGTGCCCCTGGGTTCAATACCTTGTCCTCCTTAAAAAATGCTCTTATAATAGTAAGAGTCACTTACTTGTATTCTTATTCTGTGCCAGGAAGTATGAGCATTTTGTGTGTGTGGTCTCAGCTGGTCTTGTCTTCTCATACCTCAACTAGGCAGGCACTTTATTATCCTCTTTTTGCAGAAGAGAAAGCTGAAGCTCAGAGGTCACCAACTTGGTAAAGGATAGACTCAAGGTTGTTTGATTCTACACTGCACACTATTTTACCCCTTCCCTTGTGATTTAAAAGGAGAAGTATTAGGCCAGGCGTCTTGGTCAACACCTCTAATCCCAGCTACCTGGGAGGCTGAGACAAAGAGAATTGCAAGTGTGATGCCAGCCTGGGCAATTTGACAAGACCCAGGCTCAAAGAAATGGGCTGGGGTTGTAGTTCAGTCTTTAATAACATACAGGAAGAAATAAAGAAAAGAAAAAGAAAAAAATAGAGAGAAAGAAAGACAAGGCATTTTGACAAATAGGAATGAAGTGATTATGGGTTAAAAATAAATGAGCCAGGGCTGGGGTTGTGGCTCAGTGTAG